TGCCAGCTCACCCAGTTGTTTTTATTGTGTACTACAGGTCCCAGCAACCCGACCCATGTTAAAGTGAACACGGCATTGGGCCCCTCTATACGGTATGTAGACCCAGATGATGACACTTCCATGTAAACGGGACAGTGGGGGAATCTGCAGATAATAATAGTATTGTGTGACAATGGTTGTGTGACAATAGAGTGTAAGCTCCTCCGGGAGGCCATTTCAACCCTTTTAAACTTTTTAAAGTGACAGCGTCTGAGCGTGAGGGGCCTATTATATGTTATGGTGCAGAAAGCGCTCCTGTGGTCATCCCTCTGAACCTAGTACCCGGTATTCTCCTGATTTTATTGTTAAAGGAGAACTATGGGGGTCAGGGCTTTTCCCCATAGTTCTCCTAAGGGTAACGGGAGGACACAAACTAGCGCCCTCCCGTCACCCTAGGCTCAGTATATAGGGAGCTACAGCTCGCCGTATACTGAGACGCCGCAGCCGGAGCGGATCCCGACATCGAGATCCGACCAGCTGCGTGAGTGACAGCTGGCTCTGCCTATCTAAAGGCAGAGCCAGCTGTGCCCGTGCCCGCCCCCTCCCCCATCCGTTCCGCCAGTCAGTGCTGGAGGATCGGACAGGGGAGGGGGGAATCCAGTCACACCCCTGTCTAGGCTCTCTGCAGTGACAGGATCGAGAAGTGAGCGAGCGTCGGTATGTGTTCTCTCACTTCCCGATCCACTGAGCCGACCTGTGACAGTCTCATTGTCACTTGTCGGCTAGAACTATGAGGAGGAGTGAAAATCACTCGCTTCATAGCTCTCCTTTAAGTCCAGCCGCAGCTGCCCTACCCTTATCCAATGAGAGTGTCTCAGTTGCCAGCTGGAGCAGTTTTATTATTGGACAGGAGGCAGTGGGCAGGGCATAGACCCAAAGTCAGAGGAATCGTGAACAAATTGATCCCGGTTGCAGAGGGGTGCACCAAGGAGCGTTTTCTGGCCAATGAAGGTTATATAAGACATCCCGTGTTTCCTGCTCTCAGTCAGTATTTATTCTGGTAAAATGGCCGACAAGTTCACTTTAAATGCTTAAATGGCTGTATGAGGAGGTTGGATGAATGGAGAGGAATCCTGGCCAGGAGGTGACATCACCAGGCCTGGCGCCCGGATTTCCCGAGCATGAAATCCCGCTGCTTGCGCTTTGCTGAGGGGAGGCCGGCGGGTTCATATATATCGTTGTGTTCTTCCCCCCGCAGGCCCATATGCGGTGTCGCCAGCATCCAGTCTTCCCACAGCAGCATTGCACTGCACCACGGTGGCGGCGGGGCCACCATCGGCGGATCACCATGTCTCAGCTCCTCCGCTGTGACATACCGACCGCAGCTGGAGGCCGCCTCTACCGCCATCGCCCCCAGCGTGCCGAGCCCTCAGACTCAAGAACAGCAGGACATCCTGGAGTGGCTGCGGAAGTTGCGTCTGCACAAATACTACGCCGTTTTCAGCCAGCTGTCCATGAAGAAGGTAACGGCGGGCAGTCTCAGATGAGTGTGGGGCACAGGATACAGAGCGATGAGGGAAGAGCGCAGAATCTTGCTTTGGCGTAACGGTGGATGACTGCCGCTGTGAGCGCCTTTCTTACCTTGAATATCCATTTTCTTCCTCATCCGTTGAGGGACGCAGGAATTCTTAGGCTGTCGGGTTATACTGCTACGTACAGGAGAAATGGACCCTGACAACAAAAAGAGGCCAGCTCGGGATTGGGTTGTTATATTTAAAGAGACCCTGTCATTTTGTCTTGAATGGGCGAGGGGGAGCATACTACAGCTGTAGTCTTCAAACCATTTGTTGGTGACATATAGTGTCGCTTCACCCAAAACAGACCAACATCCCCTTTCACCTGTTTAATATACATCTCTGGGGTGCCCACGGTGAGACCTGTTCCAGGTTTTCCAGTCGCAGGCACCCGTTTTGGCATTTATGGGGGCAGAAGGTGCCTTTAATAATGAGGGACTTCACGGTGAGGACTCTCATCCCAGCTTCTGGGGAACTCCAGGGTAGTGGTCCTTATCCTTAAAGGAGAACTATGGGGTCAGAGCTACTCCTAAGGGTCACGGGAGGACACAAACTAGCGTCCTCCCGTCACCCTAAGCTCAGTATATAGCGAGCTACAGCTCGCCGTATACTGAGACGCCGCAGCTGAAGCGGATCCCGACAATTATGTCTGGATCCGCCCAGCTGCGTGAGTGACAGCTGGCTCTGCCGATATAGAGGCAGAGCCAGCTGTACCCGCCCCCTCCCCCTCCGATCCGCCCGTCAGCGCTGGAGGAGCGGGGAGGGGGGGAATCCCTGCAGGGAGCCGTGAGTGACAGTCACGGCTCTCTGCAGGGAGCGAGCGCCAGTATGTGTCCGCTCACTTCCCGATCCACTGAGCCGACCTGTGACAGTCTCATTGTCACAGGTCGGCTAGAACTATGAGGCCGAGTGATTTTCACCCCCCCTCATAGTTCTCCTTTTAATGAGACCAGGGCCTAGTAAATTCTTCCAAAACCTTTCACGCCCCAAATGTGACAAAAACATTTTTACTCGTACAATAAAAGTATAGGAGTGCAAAATGTGTATTTAAAATGAATTTAAAGTGGAGTAGCTTACCAAATCATTGGTGTCAGGATCATGGCCTCCAGCAGTGTCAGCGGTATCGTGGCCCCCCAGGAGAGAATAGCCTCTCGAAATAATGGTGTCAGTGGGATAGTAGCCCCCAGAGGAAAAAGGTTCCCCAAATTGGTGTCAGTGGGATCGTGGCCCTAGGGGAGAATGCACCCCAAATTATTGGTGTCAGTGGGATAGTAACCCTAGGGAAGAAGAGTCTTTATAATCATTGCTGTCAGTGGTATAGTGGCCCCCCAGGGTAGAAGGATTCCCCAAATTGGTGTCAGTGGGATCGTGGCCCTTGGGGAGAATTCCCCCCACCCCTAAAATCATCGGTGTCAGTGGGATCGTGGCCCTTGGGGAGAATTCCCCCCACCCCTAAAATCATCGGTGTCAGTGGGATCGTGGCCCTTGGGGAGAATTCCCCCCACCCCTAAAATCATCGGTGTCAGTGGGATCGTGGCCCTTGGTGAGAATTCCCCCCACCCCTTAAATCATTGGTGTCAGTGGGATCATGGCCTCCCAGGGGAGAATGGCTTCCCAAATTGGTGTCACTGGGAACGTGGCCCTAGGGGAGAATGCCCCCCCAAACCATTGGTGTCAGTGGTGGTACTTGACTTAGGACAGCAGCCAGGGCCGTCTGCAGATGAAGACTGACCACTGCCCATGCTGGATGCCGGTGCCAACGTTGATTTCCTGTCAGATCCATAGGGTGCAGGTCAGTCTGCCCGCGGAGTAATTTCAGGCCGGGCACTGTCCTTTATTAAGTGGCACCCTGACTGTTTCAGGGACATCTCAGACAAGGGGGCCCCTGGAGGATCCTCTGACAAAGCAGTCTGGTCCCGGTGTGACACCAGCAGCTGTTGAAGCCGACCGGAAGCTGTGGCCCGCGTTTGGGAACCCCCAGGCTAGGGTCCCTCCAGTGATTCCGGTGCCAGGGGCCACTAGGCAGAGCAGGCGACATGACACCAATGGTATTTTTAGCTTTCTGTAGTAAGGGGCATCCGTCCCACCGACCACCACTACTGTCTGCTGCCCCATTCCACCCTTTGTGTGATTGCAATGCTGATTGGCCGCCTGGCATTGCATTGTGGGAAGGAATGGGGAGCTTTTGGTCAGACTGCAGTTTGGGCAACGTACAGGATGGGAAAAGGGGAGTACAAAGGGGGCCTATGGGGTCCAATAGACGAGATGGACCTCATGGTAGGAGAAGCTGCTGCTTTCAAGTCCACAGTCTGCCTACGTGTGTGGGGACAGGTGGAGCTCGTCCCCTCATACAAAGAGACCAACCCAATGAGATCAGTAGGGATAAAACTTTATTGTTCCGGACAATGAACACCGAAAATCCGCCCAGGCCCGCCTCACTCTGCCACGATCCTCACTCTGCGTCAGCATGAGGGTGGCGTGGCCGGACCTTGTCCGGAACAATAAAGTTTTATCAGTGCTGATCTCTCATGGGATGTTGTCAGGTATGTAGTGGATAGCTGTGGGGTAGAAAGAGCACCTGTCATTGCTAGAACTGTATATTCCTGGTAAGAATGAACAGTGTGTGATGTGACCAGACCAGTTCGCCTCCTGATACCGTTATCCTTTGTTTTCAGACTCTGTTTTGTACAGCTGCGTTTAAAAGTGGATTTAAGCTTAGTATCCAGGTATCAGGTTTCTGCTCCAGCCTCTTCCGATCTGTAATGGCCGCCGCGTGCTGCACTGTGCTCTCACTCACTCTGTTCTGTCCCCCGTTGCAGTTCTTGAGTCTCACCGAGGAAGATCTGAACAAGTTCGAGTCCCTCACGATGGGCGCCAAGAAGAAGCTAAAGACCCAGCTGGAGCTGGAGAAGTGAGTAGCCAGCAGGGGGGCAGCGTCCCCTCCTGCCACCCGCTTCGTGAGCAGAAAATGGAAGTCTCAGCCCTAGATATGTGCACAGCCCCGGCAAAGACTTTGAGATGTTTGGTGGGAATCTCTTCAGTGTGGATGTGAACTGTAACCAGATGACACACATTTTGTGTATCAAATATTAACTCCTTTGTGCTCATTTCCTGCAGCCGCTGCCCATCTGCATGCACTCCAGTGATGGCTGCCATGGCATTTCTCAGGGCGGGTTTGCTAATGGTGACAACAGTGGACCATGTGTGCTGAAATAGCCACTTGTAGTCTCCATCGGAAGCCCACGTGACAACGCAGTAGCACAATTGGGAGACAGGGACAGAGCGTTGTCACCCTGAACAAGGACCTTCATGGCAGGATCACCAGGGGTGCAGGCTAAAAAAAACTAATATTGCAATTGGCTTTTGAATGACGTCAATCTGTTAAAATATGACATTTTAGTGATTGGGTTTACATCTATTGTAATGTGGAGCGTGTGTTATAGAAGACGATGTGTATATATAATACACACTGTACTAAGGACCCCTTGACCCAGGGGTGGGCAACTCCAGCCCTCCAGCGGTGCTTTAAATACAAATCCCAACATGTTTCTGCCTCTGGCAGTCATTCCTGTAGCTGCAATGCCTCATGGGACTTGTAGTTCCACAACAGCTGGAGGGAGGCATTGGAAGACTGACAGATGCATGCCTACCAGGAGTAGAGAAGTAGATACAGGTTGGGATTTGTAGTTAAAGCACGGCTGGAGGGCCAGAGTTGCTCACCCCTGTTCTGGGAGTCATGCCTGTGGCTGTCAGTCCTGCAATGCCTCGTGGGACTTGTAGTTCCGCAACAGCTGCAGGGCCAGAGTTGCCCACCCCTTGCTCTACCAAAATGCACTTCATTTGTAAGTTGTTGTTAGAGCAAAAATATAAATTTGTTCTTTCACGGAGATCGGCACTCCAGCTGTGGCGACACTACAAATCCCATCATGCTTCTGGCTCTAGGACTCGTGTGTGTGTGTGTGTGTGTGTGTGTGTGTGTGTGTGTGTGCGGGCTCAAAGTATCTCACAGCACATCAGGGCTGAGGGAGGCATTGGAAGACTGACAGATGCATGCCTACCAGGAGTAGAGAAGTAGATACAGGTTGGGATTTGTAGTTAAAGCACGGCTGGAGGGCCAGAGTTGCTCACCCCTGTTCTGGGAGTCATGCCTGTGGCTGTCAGTCCTGCAATGCCTCGTGGGACTTGTAGTTCCGCAACAGCTGCAGGGCCAGAGTTGCCCACCCCTTGCTCTACCAAAATGCACTTCATTTGTAAGTTGTTGTTAGAGCAAAAATATAAATTTGTTCTTTCACGGAGATCGGCACTCCAGCTGTGGCGACACTACAAATCCCATCATGCTTCTGGCTCTAGGACTCGTGTGTGTGTGTGTGTGTGTGTGTGTGTGTGTGTGTGTGTGTGGGCTGTCAGAATCTTGCAATGCCTCATGGGACTTGTAGTTCCACAACAGCTGGAGGGCCGGAGTTATCCACCCCCCGCCTTGACCCATCTTGGACAATCTCCCTCTGCTGCTGTTCACATGATCAGACACTTGGCATGGGTCATGTGATCTTATGTCACTCCTTTGGCTGGGATCATGTGATCAGTACCTTGGAATTTGGTCAGCAAACGGAGATTACAGCAACGGATCCTTAAGAAGAGGAGTGCGTGTCCCTTTTGATCTGTATACGTAGGTTCAGGTTGGTGTGGTGGTGGTGATGATGGGGGGGTGCTGTTCTGTAGTCTAAAGAGGTTGGAAGCGTGTGTCATTAGGCAATGAATAGGGAGCTGTTGGGGAAGGGTGCATGCACCCACAAAAATGGGAATGTTTGTGTGTGTGTGTGTGTGTGTAGTGGACCAGGACCAGTGTGCAGTGCTGTGTAGGAACCGTGTGATGGGGGAATTCTGTTACCTGGGGGCTGCAGGGGCCCCTCTGCATTGCTTCACAAAATGACCTCCATCAAATGCAACACTTCCCAGAAATCAGCAGCTTTATGGAAAATGTCTGAAACATGGTCTGTTTTATGTCTTCATCGATCTCTCTTTACGTTTCCTTCTCCAGGGAGAAATCGGAGAAGAGGTGTCTCAATCCGGCTCCGTGTACCTTCACAAGCAGCGGGGTAGCCAGGGTCCCCCCCACTAGCCACGTGGGGCCAATGCAGAGCATCCACTACAGCCATTCTACAGGTGAGGGTGCGATCACGTGAGCTGTCTAGGCTACTGGGAGGACGCTAGTTTGTGTCCTCCCGTTACCCTAAGGAGAACTATGGGGAAAAGCCCTGACCCCATAGTTCTCCTTTTAAGACTCATCTCTTCAGGGAAGCCGATCCCACCTCAACCTAACCGCTCAATCATTCATCCCCACACAGCTCCCTCCTCATGTATCACTGGCCCCTCCCTTTTAGATTGTAAGCCCTCAGGGGCAGGGCCTCCTTACTATCTTGTATTGAATTGTATTGTGATTGTAATTTCTTCCTTATATTGTACAGCGCTGCGCAAACTGTTGGCGCTATATAAATCCTGTATAATAATACTACTAGGTGTAGAAGCCAGGGCAAAGACTGACCCCCACGCTGCCCTCACTTTGTAAGAACCGGAGCAGCCGCCTCTTTAGATGTTGCATTTCCCGCGGCAGTGGAATATCTGCATTTTGTAGACGGGACGTAGATCAGATCGGCACAGGGAGGAGAATAAAAAAAAGTTTATTGAAACTTTAAAAAGACCCCCCGAGGCTGCGGTGGGGTCCGCAGCGCCTTCTATTTGATATCGTCATTTGTAGATAAAATCACATTGACACATAAAAAAAAAATCATGAATGAATAAAAGTTTTTTGATGTTTTATTTTTGTGCCCAATAAAAGCTTTACATGTTGTTAATAAATAATATACAAATTAGGGAGGCACCGATACTAGTGTTGGCGCCGATACCGAGTATTTGGGCGCATGCTCGTACTCGGCAAATGCTCCGATACCTTTCCCCGATACCGGAATTTTTGGTCAGAGCCGAAATTCCTCCGACCAGCAGTGCTGCGAGGGAACATAGAGCCAATCAGGAAGCTGGGCAGCGGGTAATGACCCGCCTCCCGGGTTCCTGATTGGCTGGGAAGCTGTCTCAATGCTGTTTGGCTGGCTCCATGCTGATTGCCAGTCAATCAGCATGGAGCTGGCCAAACAGCTGGCTTGAAACTGATTGGCTGGGAAGCTGGCTTCCCAGCCAATCAGCATGGAGCCGACTTCCCGAACAATCAAGAAGCCGGGTCACGGGTAGGGACATGCCGCCTGGGCCCATGCTGATTGGCCGGGAAGCCAGCTCCATGCTAGCGGAAGTACAGCTATTGGTCCTCTGTATCGGCGAGTACAAAAAGATAAATATTGGCACTCCTAGAACAGCGGTTCTCAACCTTTCTAGGGCCGGGACCCCTTGGTAACATTTGCCAAGTTGTGGTGAGCCCCAATGGTAAAATTTAGGGGTGCACCAATACTAGTATCTGAGTGGGCTCACAGGTGGCTAGTGGCACTCACCTCCGCTCACTCCTGCCCAATTCCCTCTCTCAGATCCCCTCCGGCCGCCACTGCTGCAGCACCATCTAGGAGAACGGACACTGCTGCACTAGGAGGAGGCTAAGGAGTCTCTTACCTAGCACAGCACAAGGCACATGGCGACCCCCTCAACTGTGGCTTGCGACCCACTTTTGGGTCGCGACCCACAGGTTGAGAACCACTGTCCTAGAAGAACCGGTATCGGTGCATCCCTGATAAAAGTGACTTCGCTATGCAAATGAGTCTTTCAGCTATTATCGGGTTAGGCGATCACTGCTGAATTGTGCCGGGTCGCCGGTGACCACTCTTTACAAACGACTTCTTTTTCGACTTTCTCGGTAGAACTGTCTGTAGATGTGGAGGCGACAAGTTCTCAAATGCCTCAAGAAGGCAGCTCGTCTTCCGAGTACTCCAGTTCCCCTTCCAGCCCAATGGGACTCCAGACACGAGAGGAGAGCTCGGACAGCGCCGAGGAAACGGACCGGCGTAAGTAGAACGTCCTCCTGTTTTACGGATGAGACAGCCCATGGGGTGACGGCCTAATCATTCTCTTCTCCGTAGGTCTCGGCAGACACTTGGACTGCGCAGAGAAGGAAAAGTCCGTCTTGTTGGTGAATCACTTCACGTCGACGTCGCTGCGCCCGACAGCTCAGGTTCTGCCTGTTCAGAATGACACCGGATCCAGCGCTTCGGGCCACCCCCCTCTGCCAATTCAGATCATTACTGGGGCCCCATCTCATATGGCTCCCCTGCACCTCATCAACGCGCTGCACAAGTCAGACCGAGGCGGCGCTGACATCAAACTCCTCCAGTCATCTCCGCACCCTCTCTCGTCTTCAGAGGAACGCACCAAATCGGCGGCGGCCCCCCGAAGCAGCATGAAAATGGAGAGAAGCTTTGGGGGCCTGCTGCTCGATGTCAAAGCCCCGTCCAGCCCTTTGCAGTCCGGACAGTTTCTCTCCATAATGCCCGACAGCAGCGCAATGGCTCAGAGTGCGGCCTTCGGCGTCCGCGGCAAAGTCGGCAGTCCCGTGTCCGGGGAGAGGATGGTGAAGCCGACTTCGTTGATGTTGGACAGCGGCACGCCAGCCACCCCGTCATCAGCCCCGGTCTTCCACGTCACCCGCACCCCGGTGAAGCTCCTGGTGTCATCCGCTGACTCTTCCACGGTCGGGCCGATGTCATGTTCCAGCGTCGCGCCCGCAATATTAAGCCCCAGAAACGTTCTCTATACAGCCAATACCAAAGTTGCCTTCTCCACCATGAGCGGCGCGCCCGTAGCTCAGATGTCGGGCAACTACTGTGCACACAGCAATGTCTCTCCGAGCGGCCTGACCTCTACGCCGTACAGCAGCCTAGCCAATGTACCCAGCTGCCCGGTGCCCAGCTCAAGCCCGACGTCCGTGACCGACAACAGCTACTACAGCAGCGGAGGGAACTCGCCCACCATGAACTTGCAAGTTGCCAGCCAGGCATCAGGACACCACCACCTACACCACCACCAACAGCAGTCCCAGGCGGGGTGCAGCTCGTGCGGGTGCAGCGGCAGCTGCGGGAGCGGCGGCGTGGCTGTCAACTACGGCAACTATTTTCAGCACTTCTCAGCGCCCTCCATGTTTCCGTTTTCTCTCATGCCCTTCAGCCCCATGTGCAATAACGGGTACATCAACACCCAGCAATACAACAACAGCTCCTCCTTCCCCGTCATTCACAACCCCTACAGCAACAGCATGAACCCCGACTCTATGCTGACGGGGCAGCCAAGCTTCTCCATACCCCCCATGCAAAACTTTATCACCGGCACAGCGGGGGTGTACCAGCCTCAGGGAATGATGGGAGCCATTAACGGCATGCTGCACAAGAAGAGTGGCAACGTCTCGTGCTACAACTGCGGAGTCAGCGGGCACCGGGCTCAGGATTGTAAGCAGCCGGCCATGGATTTTAATCAGCAAGGTAATTGGTTTTATATGAAGGGACTCTGTAGTTTTCTCACCCAGTGAGGGACGCCGTCTTTATCCTCCGGGTCATACTGCCGACTACAGGCGGAGTACACACTGGCAGAGAAAACAATCTTAGGTCACCCCAGAATAACCCCTCACTCCCCCCAATCACATCTCACTCCCCCCAATCACATCTCACTCCCCCCAATCACACCTCACTCCACCCAATCACACCTCACTCCCCCCAATCACACCTCACTCCCTGGCCGCCTCGCCACCAAAACTTTTTATCAGGACATACCATCCGCTGTCATACCCTCAGCACTCCTATTTACCACATACTGTCCTGTATCATACCCTGTCCACTGTCATGCCACCTGTACTCCTCTCCACCACATACTACCCACTGTCATGCCATCTGTACTCCTCTCCACCACATACTGTCCACTGTCATGCCACCTGCACTCCTCTCCACCACATACTACCCACTGTCATGCCATCTGCACTCCTCTCCACCACATACTACCCACTGTCATGCCCCCTGTACTCCTCTCCAGCACATACTACCCACTGTCATGCCATCTGCACTCCTCTCCAGCACATACTACCCACTGTCATGCCATCTGCACTCCTCTCCACCACATACTACCCACTGTCATGCCATCTGCACTCCTCTCCAGCACATACTACCCACTGTCATGCTGACCGCCATGATTACCTACACACTCTTCTGTCCCTTGTAATATCCTTTACATTACTCTCTTCACTACCTGTGAGCCCACCTGGCACATCCCCCCCCCCTGATACCCTCACAAGAGGAGATGGCAGCTCACACTCTTCTGTCCCGCTGTTCATTGTCTTTGTCTTGCACGCACACTTTTCCCTCCCTGCCGCCCCAGCTTCTCAATGACTTCCGAAAATCCTTTCTATGCTGTGACCCCTATTGGAGGAGAGTTCGGGGAACCTGACTAAAGCCTCCCCGACCCTCATCTGTGCCCATGCTCCACCCCAATTCATACACTACGATCCCCTAGCCCCCCTCCTCCAACACCAAGACATCATCTCATCCTAGGCAAAGTCACTGACTGGAGCTCAAGGGCGGCCATTTTTGGAATGATTCTGTTGTACGTTGTGACGCGTCCGGAATTGATTCCGACCCCTAAAGTTGGCGGAAGGTCCGTGTTCAGAGACAAGTCATGTGATCGCGCGGAGGGGAATTACACGGGTTACAGAACTGGTTTTAGGAACGATTGTAGAGACGTGAGGGTAAGGTGATGGAATATCTTGTTATCACATATTAAATCCTCGCCTTTTGTGATTCCCGCAGGTACTTTCCGTCTGAAATACGCGCCGCCGTCGGACGGTTTGGACTCCACGGACTAATCCTTGCGACACTTTGATTTGAAGACGGTGCCCAGCGGCCTCCTCCCCCTCACCCGTTCATACGAGGGGGAAGCCCTGGCATCACAAAGGTGCTTTTTTTTTTTTCTCCTGACCGAAGTGACGATTCTTCAGGGATTTTTATTTCTGCGTTGCCAAATTCAGCTTCGAGGATTCGTTTTTAACAGAAGCGCTTTGCACCGGGGCCCCTGTAAAGCTGCGGGTCTAAAGCCTGCGCGGCGGCGGAGGAGAACCCCCGAGGAAGAACCGACTTCGTTCTCCGTCTTCACCCACATCTTAAACTTTTCTAGGGCAGCTACAATAAATGTCAATGTAAACCCGAGAGGTAAGTCACAAACGTGTGTCTCTTCACCCGCCACGCAGCGCCCGCTGCTGGAGACCGCTGGGGAACCAATCACTGGGATGCGCTCCCGGATTGCACTAGGGAAGAATGTACAATATCTTTTATTGTTTTTAATGGAACGTTGCCGGGAATTCAAACAACTTCGCAAATAAAACAGGCGATTCTTAACTTTTACCGAAATCTGAAATGCCCCCTGGCCCCCCCGGATCAGAACCAGTAACGCTTCAACTTTGAGGATATTTGCACTTTAACATTTCTTTTTTGTTACCTTTTTGTTTTTTTCATTGGATGTGTGTTACAGATTGGGGATCCCCCCCTCCCCGAAGCTTGTTAGACCCCCTTCGGGAATTGTTCTGCCAGTAGGAACTGCGGGGACACGGTCCCGAACAGTTAAAAGGAAGCAGAGCAAGAGTCCATCGCCACTAAGTTACCGTCGGGGTCCCAGCGCTCGGCCAGCGCAGTATTATTTACTCAGATTTACAACAAAGGGCTTTAGCTACTCTCAGACTTCTCCAACAAAACACTAACACTAGAGTCCCGCCATCGATGGGGGCCGGTCTTTTTTTTAACATGTCCGCAACACTTCAAGAAAGCCACTTCACGCTCTTGGAAGTGCAGGATTTTGGCTTTGAAACGGTTTTATAAGGACTATGTATGGACAAACGGATACTTGGGTGCAAATGCTGTTTTGGGTTATTTTGTATTTTTATGGGGTTATTTCTTATTATTCCGGACCCTTCTGTAC